ATAATCTAATATGTCTTGAGTAGTTTCTATATAATATTAGGAAACTTGTCATGAGACAAAATCCATTGTATTTTGATACATAGGATAGAAATACGCTATTTTACATCCACATAATTATGAGAATCTTGAACATTATAAATAATAGAACTAGAAATTAGAATTCTAAAGGTAAAAAATATTAAGCTAATAAATCTCCTTCCTAGGTTCATCATGGTACCTTGAAATAATCCAATACTTTGAAACTAGTCTACGTGTCTACTAATGCATAGAAAACAAGTCTCATCATATTGGAAATTTAGAGAGCTCTCATGTGTAAAAATCAAGATAAAATTGCACTTAATCATAACCCACTTAATGTCTCAAATGGCCTCTTAAAAAGAAATCAAATAATTTCCCCATCTCCATCCTATTATGGCTATTATTTGAGCTCGAATTTAGTCAAAAAATGTAATTGTGGCATTTACATTGAAAAATTAAGAATTTAATGATATGACACAATAAGCATAAATTTTTCATGGTATCTTAGCTATTCATGATATGTTAGTTGTTTATAGCATTGGAGAGGATGACAACATTATTCCCTCAAATGGCCAAATCCACAGCCATTGCAAAGTGATCAAATATGCCCTTAGTAAGATCAAGGACTCTCCAAACCTATTGTGTTATTCCGGAGATATGTTAAATAATTAGTAGAATTAGATAATTATGGAGGTATGTTATTTTATACCAGAATATAATTTGTGTATGTTGAAATGTATGATAGTAATTGGATACAAATTGTGTGATTCTTATTTATTTAATAGTTTTATACAATGACTACTTTAAGTGAATTGGAAGAATCTACACCCGTCTATCTGAACATGGTGGACAAGCGTTCCTTGAGATAATAATAATAATAGTCGAATAAAAATAATAAATTTATCGTGCAGTTTTAATTGAATTATTGGTTAATAAGATATTACGTGTTATTCTTTTATTTTAGTTATTCTCTTGTTTGAAATTCCCATATAAATACCGAGGAACCTCCCCTCCAACTGCTGGAACATTGCGCAGGTGAAGAAGGTGATAAACCGAACGCTTCGGTCTCTGGACGAGTACCTCGGTGCTTACGCCTCGCCTCTGCCGGAGGAGGCGTGGAAGGATCTGTGCTCGAGCTAGGATGGCCTCTACCGACCGCCCTGTGCGGGAATCCGCTCGGCGCAGGAAGGTGTGTTATGGCATCACCAGGGAAGTACCTGCGGAGAGGGCGTCGTAGGGGACGAAGAATGGAGATCCGATCGATCTTGAGGATCTGAGGCCGACGAAGGTTTCCCTTTTGGCTCGTCACGGAATGCCTTACTCTGTTGCCGTAATGTCCGGCGGGAGTGAGGATAAGGATGATCAGACGGATTTCTCTATCGGGACCTCGCAGGCCATCGATCCGGGGAGGCAAAAAAGCGCGAAGGAAAAAGGGATACCGTGCTTCTTTGCAGTTTTCCTGCTTAGTAAGTTGACGTACTGCCGTCTATGGAGCGGCATTGGATTCGGAGCTGGTAAAACTGAGAAATAGAGGGCAGATCAACGAGGTCTTCTGTACGAATAGCTCGGTACCGATACTCTGCTTCGTGCCATACAAAAGGTTTCACGCTTCATTTCTTTTGTACGCGACATTTGGGGGCACTTCATCTCCTGAGTTGCTTTCTGTTTTCTCTTGTAATTTCTTCTGCATTAATATATGAGTTAATGCTTACATCAATATGTGGCCACAAATATTTTAAGGAAAAAAATATTCGACTTTCAACTCAACAAGTCACAAGCGGAAGCCATTTGCAGATGTCGTTATGCAATAGGAAGGTGTTCTGTCGGCTTCATCTGAGGTACCCCCTGAAGCAAGAAAGACTGAAAATAGTGGGCACTTTGCAGTGAATACTCCTTACCATGAAATGCAGAATGCTCCATGGTATTTCAACTGGAAATGATTATTGTCTTAGGGATGTGGTACTGTCCAGGAATAAGGATCGAATGAAGATTCGTGAGGATGATGAACTCTCTGATGTATATCGTCACAATCGTGTGGATAGGCTTTTGGATTACTTTTTGGGATGCACAGGATGGCGGCATTGGTTGATGTCAATTATTCACTGTTTTGATTATTGTGTCTCTCTACATAAAACAGATTTGAAATGTATGAATGAGGAAAGTCAATGATTCGAAGATTGTGAATTATCAGATGGTGGTTTGGCATTATTGAAAAGAGCTTGAGTACATGATTCGAGACATTACTCAGATACAAACTATACGAACATGGAGTTTATTCTCGATTTTTTGAAAAATTTCAAAATATATCATTGAACATCATTTTGTGTCTCAGATTTAGAGCTTCAAGAAGTATTCAGTCCTTATAAATTAGTAGTTATGGAGATCCAACATCATGAAACAGATGTGACTTGTTTATATTACAAGTTACATAAAGTGACAATGAATGATCTAATAGAGTTTGTGATCAAGGACTAGGTATCACGATCGAAAGAATGTGACTCATTGATTTCTCTGCAGCTTTGTGCCATGCAACATTGTATTCCAGTTGGCAACGAACGCCAGTAGCCTGGAGTGATTGAAACCAAGGTTCTAACTGAAACGTGATATTTGCTTACTATTTAAGATTATTATTACGCTGATGTTCCTCTTTACTTTACTTTCCCCCGGAGGCTTTTGAGGGAGCTCTACTTGGAAGAGTCTTTTTGAAAGGTTTACCTTAGCTACACAGAATAAACACCTTCTCAATGCCCTGTCATGTGCATCCTACCGTAAGTAGATTCCCGAATTCTATGTTTTGAAGAGCTATCAAGAGTATTTTCTTGGTGGATCTGTGTTGGGTTCCTATTCGTTTGTTGATATTTCAAATGAGATGGAGATGAAGGATCATATTGGACGTAGTAAAAGAATACAGTTGAGGTATCTGTTTCTCTGGATTAGTAAGGAGACTTTTTAATGGTATGTTCGGCCACAGGTTGGATAGCTTCATGATGTTTTGAAATGGGAAATAGTTATTCATCATATGCTGGTGGTCCTTCCATCTCATTCAGTGTCAGTTTTCTATTTTGACAATGTATCATGAAAGGGATTTTCTACTTTTAACATGATGATTTTAGTGCCTCTAGTTAGCATTGTGTACTTTTATGGGACAAGATGAATTGGTTGTATGAGTCCAATAACTTTTGTCTTGCGATTTTTTCTCATTGTTTCCTATCTTTGCTTTCTGTTAATAGATACTGATGGTTGATAACTTCAATCTATAAAGCTGCAGGGCCCAGAGCGCTGGGGGCAGAAGCTTAGTGGTTGTATCAACGAGGAACTTGGTAAAAAATACACGTCATGCCCCAAGTATGTTCTGAAAGTTCAGTCGCTCCATGGCTTTTCAGAGGGTGGGAAGAGGATATAATGATATTATCTACTATAAGGTCTAATATCGATGGTTCGTCCTCTGACTTTTCTTTCCAATTGGCAACGAATGAATGCTGCTTTGACTAGATCAAGCTGCTTTTCCCTTATTTTGCTAAATTTTACTTTACTATAATTGTCCACAATCCTCCGAGGTAATTTTTTTTTTCTTGAATGGAGGTTTTTGCCTTTGGATCTTAGAAAGTGGGGCAACTTTTTCCGAGGGTAACTCGATCTGGGAAGAATTTGTCCATGTTACTAAGAAAAGAAGATATTGATTCAGTACAGATGAGGTAATTTCTTGTAAAAAAGCTTCAAATTTCTTATTCCGATTCTGATTTCCTTCTGTTCTGTCCTTTGTGCGGATGATTTTTTGCCATTTTTGTTTTGGTGGATCTTTCTCCCTATTACAATATTTTCCTCAATCAGAAACGTTTTCCATATGTTTTGGAGCAGGACCCAGCAGCCTTGTGCTTCCAAAACTATATTTGTTATTATTATTATTATTATTTTAGAAGCTCATATTATGATATGCATTTCTGGGGGTTTCAAACAGAGAAGATGAGGCCTGCTCCACGGACCATAATCCGTCATTCCTGCATGCTAAAACCATCTGAAACAGTTTAATTTTTCATTTTATCATTTGATAATTGCTCCATTTCTCACTCTAATGTGGCATCCTTCTCTCGTGTTTTCTTAATACTCTTATCGTGCATACTATTTGGTTCTAATGTAGTAGGAGTTTAATATTTTCTTGGAGACTTTAGAAAAATATAACAGAAAATATTTTACAAGTTAGCTGTATATTAATTTTGACTTTTTTCCATTTTTCACTATCAATTAACAAAATAAAAAAGAACAGGTTGGTGTTACCATGGGCTAGAACAAACCAGATGTGATCCGACGTGGATTCCCATGTTGTTTCTCATTCATCCCCCTGCGATCGGATGTGATGCCCTCGAGCTTTGATTTTACTTTTTGATACCCTTTTTGACTATGGTTGACCTTTTTATTTTTCTCATTTTCTACGACTTGCCACTACCGACGACTTCTATTTTTTCCACCCGGAGGTTTATTTTTCTGATGCTCATATCTGGTCTGATCTGAGTTTCTTCGTCCACACCGGGGGTGCGCGATCTCTACCCGATTAGGCCATTCTTTCGGGGATTTCTGGAGTTGACCGCGTTCGGGTTCTATAGTATCTTGAATCTTGTGAAAAAACATCTCGTTGGCAGGAAATTTTTGGAGTTGCTGCTGTACGGATAGACGGCCACCCGTATGCAAAAATCTTTTTTGCGGCGAGTGAGCGAGAGAGAATGGATGGATAGAGACAGGTAAAGAGAGAGAGGTGTAGAGAGAGAAAGAGAGAGAGAGAAGGATGGATTGCACGGGACGGGAATCTCTGGCACCCGGCCAGCACTCTACGAATGTTCCGGCGGTCTACATGACGTGCAGACGGCGGTGGTGGTGTCGGTATTTCTGCCTGCGCCTTTAGACCCACCCCGTCCCCGTCTTCCCCGAGCAAAACCCATAAAACAGCAGCTTTTCCCCAGTGGGAGAGCGAGAGCTCCGCCGCCTAGATGCTCAACGCCAGCGACAATCTCGTCCAGCTTCTCTGTCCCGTCCCCAGAAGCAGCGGCGCCGCCTCCTCTTTCCCCGCCTTCCGCCGCTGCTTCTCCGGCCACGGCCGCTTCTCCCTCCCCATCCACCTTCCGCCGGTGCTGCTGCCTCCGCAGTTCCCCGGCTGGCCGGGACCCCCCCCCACCGCCATCTTCCTAGTCTTCTTCCTCTGGAGCTCGCTCTTCCTCGCTCGGCTCCTCGTCCTCAGGTCCGTCACCACCTACCAATCTTCTTCCATCGACAGGTCTGTTTCAGATCCCTCCCTCTCTCTCTCTCATCTCTCTCTATCAGTCGCTATCTTCTCCCTTCTGAGCTGGGCTTCGTTATCTATCGGCTCATCAGTGAGGAAGCCGAGGGCCGCCGTGATGAAGGCCACTGGTTCGCCGGAAACTGGCCGGGAGAGGAAGACGTGGTGCTCGAAGGGGAAGTTCTGCTTTCCCTGTCCACAAAAGTGACCGACGAGGATACCATCCTTGCCCAGCAAGGCGAAGATGGTGAGGACCTCACTCTTTCCGCTATGGAAGATCTCGCCCCCCTGGAGAGACCTGAAGAAGATGAGACCACCGAGTTTCCCTTCGAAGACGAGCACTCCCAGGTTGACTCGCCGGCGGCGCCGCCCGCCTCCGCCATCGTCACCGTCGAAGGTAAGCTGGGTGAAGCCCTAGCGCCCTTTCTTCCCCGGGGAAGTTATCTCTGCTCCTCTTTCTGAGAGAAAAGTGCTCTGAATCAGAAGAGAAGCACCATGAGGAGGGAAAGAGGAGCTTCTCGAAAGAAGACGATCACGACGACGAGGAGATTATAGTCCCCGCTGAACACGACGCCCAACTCGTAGGGAAGGACGAAGAGGGAGGTCCGGCAGTGTACGAGTCGTCGACGGTGGGCTCCGCCTCCAATAGCTCTGGCGAGTGGAAGAGCTCCGCCAACCTGGGGGACTCCGAGACCGATCACCTCTTCTCTTCCTCCTCCCGCCGGCACTCCTCCAAATGGGAGTCCTACGCCCTATTCCGCAGGTACGACGAGGAGATGACTTTCTTCGACCAGCTCAGCGCCCAGATGCTCAGCAACGCAGGTCTCTTTCTCTCTCTCTCTCTCCCTCTCTCTTTCTCTCGCTCTCGCTCTCGCTATCTCTCGCTATATCTATCTATCTTTTCCTCTTCCTCCTGTCGTCACTGATATCTGCCCACAGATTCCCTGAGGATGGTGAGGACGCAGCCGACATCCATGTCGGAGAGAACTGCCCACAAGATAACGGCTAGGGAGAAGAAGCTCGGGAGTTTCAGGGTCGCCCACCGGGAGCTGGAGGCGGCCTACGTGGTTCAGATATGCCTGACATGGGAAGCTCTCAGCTGGAACTACAAGCTCTTCCGGCAAGCCATCGCCGGCGAGCAAGGAGGCGCCAGCGGATTCTCCGCCCGCACCGCCCAACAGTTCCAGCAGTTCCAGGTCCTCCTCCAGCGCTTCATCGAGAACGAGCCCTACGAGGACGGCCGGCGACCGGAAGTTTACGCACGGAGGCGAATTGCCGCTCCCAAGCTCCTCCAAGTCCCCGAGCTCCACGGTAATGGGGATCCTGCACTCAGAAGAACCCTAGATCTCTCTATCTCTCTATCTCTCTCTCTCTCTAGGCTTTTCACTGTTTCCTCCATGACCAGACTGGGACGACAGAAACGGGGAGGAAGAAGACTCGAGGGTTTCTGCCACGGAGTTCCTGGCCATTCTTGAGGAGTGCATCAGCACGTTCATGGAGTTCCTCAAGGTGGACAGAGGGAGCCGCTGGAGCTTTCTCAGAGCCCTGCTAAGGCGCAGGCCGAGCTCCGGCGGAGCAGCCCTCCTCCTCCATGTTCTCAGGAAGGTCAACGAGAAGGTGAGTACGCCGCCGCTCAGTCGTCAAACGAAGTCCGATGCCTTTCTTTCGCTGTTTTTCCCTGCTTTCGTTGAGTGGTGAGTGGTGATTGAGCAGAAGAGGCGGCGGCTCAAGGATCTCCTCCGGCGAGGAAGCTGCCCGGTGGGGAGAAGGCGGCGGCGGCAGCGGCGGAGAGAGGAGGTGATGGAGGTGCTGATGGGGCTGGTGGACATGATGATCGTCTCCAGGGTTCTGAGGATGCGCAACGTAAGCGAGGACCAGCTCCGCTGGTGCCAGGAGAAGATGAGCAAGGTGAAGGTCTGCGACGGTCAAATGCAGAGAGATTCCTCCCCACTGTTCTTCCCTGTAAACTGAATCTACAGTACGCGTACGAAGCTGAATATCCGCCCCACCCAGCCACACAGAGATACACGGATGGATAGAGATTGGGAGAGACGGGAAGAGAGATAGATAGAGAGAGAGATTCCGCTCCTTTCTACCCTGACACTGATTATCCTTGCTTTGGGGGACTAGACGAAGGGAGCCAAGCTGAATCTCCACCCACCGCTCACATGGACATTGCGAGAGAGCGAGAGAGAGAGAACCCCTCCTTTCTTCCCTGACACTGATTATCGTTGCTTTGGGGAGCTAACGAAGGGAGCCAAGCTGAATCTCCACCCACAGCCCACATGGACATTGCGAGGGCGAGAGAGCGAGCGAGAGAGAGAGAGAGAGAGAGAGAGAGAGAGAGAGAGAGAGAAACCCATCCTTTCTTCCCTGACACTGATTATCGTTGCTTTGGGGAACTAGATGAAGGGAGCCAAGCTGAATCTCTACCCAGCGTCCACATGGACATTGCGAGGGAGAGAGAGAGAGAGAGAGAGAAAGAGAGAGAAACCCCTCCTTTCTTCCCTGACACTGGTTATCGTTGCTTTGGGGAACTAGATGACGTGAGCCAAGCTGAATCTCCACCCACTGCCGACATGAACATTACGAGAGAGAGAGGAGACCTACATGAGGATATGCATGGGGGTTGCATGTGGGGGTCACTGACGATCCCCAGAGGTAGATATGAAAGGAGAAGGGATGTGGGAAGTCTCCACGGACTCGGACGAAAGCAAGGTGGCCGAGGAAAAGAGAAAGGGAAAGCAAGGCAACACGATAGAGACAGACAAATGTGGCTTTAGCTTTTCCCTGCTTTTCCTCAGCTGGGGTCTTCTCCACGTTGGTTAGTAGAGAGAGAGAGAGAGAAGACCATAGAGATATAAACGAGATGAACAGTGCAATTTTCCATGCGGCAGGAGGCTTCTGGTCTTTTCTCTCTCTACAAGTAAAGGTCCATCCCCTGCCATCTCCATGATGACGTAGCATGCTTCAACTCATGGGCTGGACATTTTTCTAGCCGAAAATTATGACTGGAATCAAGAAGATCACGGAGCAAGCCTTCATCTTACTAGCAGCAGCCATCCGGGCCCTTCTACCTCCCTCCCCATCTGGGTTTCGTACTTGATGGAGGGACGAGGCGGGAGAGAGAGAGAGAGAGAGAGAGAGAGAGGTACGTGAACCGAAGCTCAGAACATCATGTACAAGTCCAGATTGGCAAGAAGAACTGGTACCCATGCGAAGTCAGCTTTCGATTCTCCACTTTATCTGATAAACGCCATTCAGAGAGGTCATGTCTATGCGGCACACGTGTTCAACCTTCTTTACTTTCCGTTTGGAAATTTATTTTGCATAGATGTATCGATAGATAAATATATCGAGAGAGAGAGAGAGTGAGAGAGTGAGAGAGCAAGAGAAGAGAAGTAGAGAGATATACGTCCGCAAAGGTATCTCGGTGTGGTTCACGTTCTGTCTGGTGCCATGGTGCATGGAAAATTATAAATGTGGACATACATAGCTAGGTAATTTAATTTTACATCTCCGTAAAGTAACTCAATTATTGATACAACTCTCTAACTTTTCAGGAAGAACTTTATATTCCCAACAATTCTCAAAACAATAATTTTCATAATTAAACTTAGGATAGAATCAAAATACTAAATCATCATCGTCATCATCATTCTAGGGTTGAAGCCATAGCTTGTCTAATGGGTTGAAGCCGGGGCAATAGGTTTACAAAATATGGCAGTATGAGGCCAATTTTCGTAGACCAGTTGCATGATGATTACACCAAAGAAGTTGATGTTCCAAGGTTGGGGATGAAGAACAAATCCTCATTGGTAAACACCCAAATGACATGAACTTAGAACAGTAGGAAGCCTTCACTATCCGTTTCCGTCGGTGCAAGCTTGGAACTTGCGTAGTTATTATTAATCTGCTGGCTCCACTAGAATGAAATGGCCTCATGGTGAATGAAGGCTTTCGCCTAAATTAGAAAGATCAATGCCAACGTGAATCCATGGGAAAATCTCTCCTTCACAAGAACAGGGAGGCTTGCCCAGAAAAGGATTCAAAAAAATTATGATTTATAATTTACAAGTTTCTCTTCTTTTTTTTTCTATTGATAATGGCTGCGAGATGAACAAGGATATCTTTTCCATGAGGGATATGAGCAAAAATTCTAATCTTAAAAACCCCCATTAGGAGTAGCGTATTACTTTTATGTAGCTTGAAAGCAGACTTTCAAAGGTCATCCATCCAAAAGAACGAGCTCCGATTACGAGGCGAGTGCCGTTGATCTAATAAATCTGGTAAACATAAAGCCGAATAATTTAAAAAATTAAAAAACCGAAAAAATGAATTCCCAATGGCACGCTGTGGAAGGAAACAACTTTTATTTAATGCTATCTAGGAAAAAAGGTCATAGACATTACCCGTTAATCAGTATATAAAGAATGTCTGGAGAGAAAAACCTAAAAATCCTTCTGCTCCTGAGAATGACTGTAAAAGGAAAATTTAACTTCTAACTTTGGCCATGGATTAGACTTTAAGGGCTCAAAAGTAGAAACCCGGTACATCCAGATGTTTGGAAACATGCCTACGAGTTAACAGAGTAAATCGAATTTTGAAATTAAAGCATAATAGATTTTTTTTCATTTTAGGTGTGAAAAGCATTTGAAATGAAGCAATTTCTCTAAATTTATGTTAACCCAACTGGTGTACAGAATATCGCAAAGGAATGAATGACTTCGACATGCACTACTCAGAAGATTTTTCTCAGAAGATCGTTAACATTGACACAGTCGATCTTCCTAGCGGGTATATTAAGTCATTTTATGCTGAGCTAGCAGTACAAAAGTGTGAGAAAAGGTTTTAATGGAAGAAAAATGCCAATTTATAGTGTCTATTTAAAAATTGAAGCATACTAACAAAAATATCCATCAATTCACATATATGTATATATATGTCGATACATATACATAAATCTGTCTCTGAAATATAGAAAATATCATTTGGCATAATTACGTCCACCTGTCAGCAAGGTAATATACCCGCAAGCAGATCACAAGGTGAAAAGGCTACGAGGGATCGAGAGATCCATTTCTATTTATCCTAAGAAAATAACTATAAACTCGAACAAAATGTGGTCACGATCACCTCCCAAAAAGACAAAATAAGAAAATTCTAGTTTCTAGTTTCAGTCCTTGAAGAGTGTTCCTATAATGCCCCTATATATAGCCACCAATTATGTAACGTTTCACATGGAAATAAATAACTATGGCATCCGTCGCGTTTTAGTTTCCGCTAAGAAACGCATCTTGGTCACTTGGCCGTGCCATTCAAATAAAACATGAAAACCACTTCTATGGGTAGGAACATGAACTCAGCAAACATGAAAAAGTTACGGGCTCAATACGGTAAAATAAAATTAATGAGTCCCTTTGCCAGATCAAAAGAAACGCTTGGCACTTCCGTGAATCGAGAAAGACAGTTTCTTCCTTGTTGACACTTCGTACCCACTGAATGTGTCTATGTATGGATGGATATTTACGGTGTTACAGCTAGGCCAGACCAAGATCGAGATCACGGCATTGAGAAAAATGGCAAAGTGCTTCGTAAGTATTTTACACGATCAATTATCGCGAAGAAATAAGCAGAAACAGAAAACTGTCTGAAAGTGAAACGAGGTTCCACATTTCTAAGACACTGAGGTTAGACAAGCATTTTAATATATGATTAAACTCCGGAAATCATCATAGACTCTATGGTCCGAGCAACCTAAAAGTGAAAAGACAACATAATCGAAATTTTTACATCAGACAGGGCATATAAATTGTTACAGAATAACGTTCCGATCTGTGGAAATAGAGAAATTTTTAAACTGTTTCAATTCAGAAAATAGAAGGCGAGAAAAATTTTAAATTTAAATCTATCAATATTTAAAATTCGTCAGAATTTTTATCAGAAATAAGATGATTAAGTTTTTCAGACATCTGAAATAGAACGGATTTACTCTCCATCAGAACTCTCTCTAGATGAGGAAAAAACGAGATGCCTTACTGTGGTTAAAAGAAATATCCAGGTTGGAAATATAATCGGCAAAGATGAATATTCGCTTAATGGACAAAAAATCACTTAATTTCACAGGAAAATGTAATAATGTATTTAAAAATTTATGATACTATTTTTACGAGTGATACTTTAATTCGACATATTAAAAATATACAATCTGCAACCCTAGAAAAGACATCAAGGATCTAATGGAGTATTGAAGAAGTAAATCACCGATTTGGGTCTGTCCAGAAATATAAAAAGGACAAATTTGAAAAAGGGCATGCGTAAATGAAAGAATAAAAAATGGGGAAGGAATTTCAATAAGGATCTCCTTTAATGAGTCCCAAGCCCATCAATAATGAGCGCACTTAGTTGTTGAGAGAGTCAGGATGAGCATCAACCTCTCATGGATTCTCGACTCTATGAGCGCGTACATCAGAAGGGGTCAGTCGAACAAAAGAGCGCAAATTGAACTCTAGAGATAGATAAAATTCACTGAACCAAAGAAAAATATCTGTTTCGAAAAAATAAATCAGAAATGAGATATTACAACTGCGTCGAGATTTTAAAGATGAAGAAGCATTGTCATCTTTAAAGCCTTTTTAAGCATAAAATGAATCATTTTAACCACCACATCAACCTAATAGATAAGATCCATGGCACACAAGGAGAGGAAGGATGGGAAGAGACAGCCAGAGGGCAAAAAATATAAAAGGGGAGGGGAAGAAGAAAACTAAAATAAGAAGGGCAGGGACCGCAGGAAGGGTAAGTGTCCCAGGTGACGCTGTCGAACATGCTAGTAAAAATTGTTACTTTTAAAAAAAAATGACCACGGGATATTACTAACTCCCTTTGACCGAAAATTTACTTCATTTTTGTTTTCTTCTTCCTCTGCACATGTCATTCGTGTTTTCCAATTGTTTCTTACTTCTTTTGTT